AATAGACCATAAATAATCAAATAATTAGTAGTGTCGAAAGAGCTTTTAACATCCCCTTTCCTACATATTCATCCTATTGGTCTCTCTACAATCTAAAATGAGAAAATAAATGTTTTGGCAAGACAATTTATAACCCTAACCTGCTCAAATCAAGTTTCTTTTTCTTGATAGCTGAACGCAAGCGAAGTGGTGTGGATATAAGTATATCACAACGAAGCTTTGATAAATCCCCACTTCTTATGAGCTTTTTAGTCAATAATTTGATATAAAGCTTATTGCCTTCTGCAAATTTTTTGCACTCTCTGGTTGTCGGGGCAGCTAGCTCACGAGTGGGACACAAAATAACAGCCTTAACGCCTTCAGTTGATGCATGCTGATAGATGAAGAAAACTTGGCAATAACTTCCGCAAAAATTTATTCGAATGAAAGATACCTTGAGTTTCATAAGCATGGGTGATACAAAAGTCAAGGTTTTTCCAGATCCAGTTGGAGCACAAGCAAAGCAGTCTCAGCCCTTCACAAACAATGACAAAAGTGTTACAGTTTTCAGCCAGTAAGAGACTTTACTGAATATATATAAAGCAAAAACAGTCGAATGCTAATATTTTTAATGCATAGCCTAATTGCCAACAAAAAATAAAAAATGCAAGGAATAAAAGTAGCAGTAGGTAAATAAAAGAACATACAGATAGAAGAATCGGGATAGCATGCCGTTGAATTGGTGTTGGCTCTTTAAATCCAAGTTTAGCAAAATTCTGCAACAAGTAAGATTCACATCCATATCTGCATAATTCAAGAAAATCTCAACTCATGAAACCAAAAGACAAGGTCAATGTCAACTAATATTTTAAACATAATACAAAGGAACCAAAAACAACATTAATGATGAGTCTTGGATAACTGGATAAGTTTAAAAGTAGTTTACCCTAACATTAAAAAAAACGTTTATTTTTTTGTTTTTATAACTAGTTTTAAATTTTTTATTTCGTTTTTTTAAAGCCGTTGGACTTAAATATTTAATTATTTTGTATAAAAATATATCATTATTTATAAGAATTAAAAATAAATATATTTTAATTTATTAAAACTAGGATCGAATTGAAAGAATATATAAATAACATGGATTATTTGTGTAATTATACCATCCAGGTAAGCCTGTTAACAGCAGTTAACAGGTCACGTGTGCTTTCCGTCACGCCTGTTAACGGCGAGTGATCAATTTGTAACAAACGATAATATTATTGACCGATTTGTGACTTTTTAAATATTAGTGGTGAAAACAAAAATTTACCCAAACATTAGTGACCGTTGGAGTAGTTTACTCTTATTTAAAACTTTACATTTTTTAATAGTAAAACGGAATCATTGAATCATATGTTAACGACTGTTTAGGTACTTTACTCTTTTAAAGTGTTGTTCAAAGAATTGGGGTTTTGTAGCAAGTTTCAGTCTGATCTCAACAATGAAGCCTAAATTAATGAACAGATCTGCAGAAGAGATCTGTAACATCCCAAACTAGGGGTTAGTGGCTAAATTGTAAAGTTTAAGAATTTGATGAATTAAGTAGAAGAATGGAATAATTCAATGATTTATTTGGAAATAATTCCTAAAAGTTGTTAGTAATTATTAAAGTAGATGAAGGGCAAAATGGTCATTGAACAAAGATAATATTAAATATTAATAATGGGTATTATAATATATGAGAGGTATGATTGAAGAGATAAGTTTTAGACTTATCTTCTTCATCTTCATCTTCTCTCAAACGTGAAGAGCCAAGCTTGCAAAGGTGAGTTTCTTTGTTAGTTGATTATTTGCTAAATTTATGGTTGGGTTTTGATCATTAGATAATAACTAAGCTTAAGGAAAGCTTAGGTTATCTTAAAATTGAAAGATAAAGAAGTTATGAAAGATTAAAGAAAATGGGTTTGTAAAGGAAATTTTGGAAAAGAGTTAATAAGAGATTTTTAAGATGGAATTTGACTTGTCATCAAGAAGAATAAGAGATTTATGAAGTTAGAAAAGATTTATAACAAATTTGAAAGTTTAGTAAGATTCTTAATTTTAAGAATCTCGATGAATATAGAAGATAAATATGATTTATATGGACATAAGTTGGTTTCAATAATGATAGTTGAGTTTAAAGTCATAATAGGGGATTAAAATAGAAGAATTGAATGAAGAATTGATGAATTTCGGGCTTGAAATACAATTTCTGGACAAGGTGCATCGATGCACATTCATAAGTGCATCGATGCATTTCTTTAAAAGAAGAACATCGAATGCCTTTGATGCATTGATGTATAGATAATGCATCGATGCATCCTTTTAAAATAAAAACATCGAATGCATTTTATGCACCGATGCACAAGTAGTGCATCGATGCATACCTTCATTGAAAGAGGAAATTGGCTTTTCTCTTAGCTTAAGAAATGACAGTTTAGAATATATCAATTGGAATATTGATATGAATCTGTGTATTGTTATGTAGAGATAGAAAGTGATCCGTTTCAGGACAATTGAGGAATTAGAATCGAATCAAAGCAAAGCTAAGGTGAGTGCAATTTATTTTGTACTTATTTTATTGAATTAACATTGGCTTGTGATGAGCCAGTGATGGAGTTACTATGGTAAGAAGTAACTTCTAAATTGTTATGTGATTACCATGTATGCATTAATACATAGAAATAGATGGATGCTATGTTATATGATTTATATGCTTAAGTGAAAATGTAACATATGATATATGTTATTTGACATGACATGCATGGTTACATGAAAGAAAGCTATGTGACTACATGTATATGTGAAGGAAGCTATAAGCTTATATGCACATGTGATATACGTGATATGAATTACATAAAATGATTTATATGAATACATGTATATATATAATACATGTGATATGATATGAGATATATGGTTACACATACATGTGATATGTGACAGAAGAGAAAGAACAAGTGATACGAAATGTATAAATAAATGCCCATAGTATATGATACGAGAGCTATAGGTATAGTTGGCATGCCAAGAGTCGAGGGTTTACCTATGTTCTAAGGAACATATGGACAGTTTACCTAGGTTCTTCGGGACCTATGGACAGTTACCGAGGATCTTTATGACCTCTGGATAGTTACCGAGGATCTTTAGGACCTCTGGATAGGTCCTTTGGGACATTTATACGAGCTGTGGTGACAGCATTAGTGCACAACCTCAATGTACTCACATACCTCTATTCTCAATAATATACATGGGCAATGAAATTGAAAGACAAATGAAAGGGAAAGTGATACAAGAAGGTAAGTTGCATGTGTGCATGACCTGATTGTATATTGTTATCATACAATAGATTCATGCATATTGATATGTCGTGATTCAATGATATGAATGCACATACATGAATTATATGTGTTATATGATGAGTATATGGTAAGTGGAAATGATTATTGATAGTGTTTGTATATGTATGTCTTTTATTTATATGAAATGATATATGGTTATATTATATGTTTTATATGCCTCACTAAGTCTATGACTTAGCGTGTAAGTGATTTACACGTAGGTACCAAGAACGAGAAGTGAAAGAATAGAAGTGGAAAAGACAGTATCACTACTAAAAGATCAGATCAGAAGTATTTGACAAAGTATGTATTTGGTTATGTATAAAGTGTTGGCATGTAATAAGTCATTAAGTACGAGCACTCTGATCAAGTCTGTATTTTGTTTTAAATAAAGTTTTAAATTTCCCGGGATTTTTCTTAAGAGTCAAGGTTTGAAAAGTCAATGTGACACGTCGGACTCGTATCCGGGTCGGGTACGGGTTGGGGTGTTACATTTAATGGTATCAGAGCTACGGTTTAGCCGATTCTAGGCTAAAAATGAAGTCAAAAGTGTTTTAAAAAGTATACATGCCAACGAAATAGTGAAAACTTCTGATCTGATAGAAAGTAAGTATACTGTTTTGCTAATAGAATGATATGATTATATTTTATTAGATGTCTGGACAAGACAACTCCCGAGACGTAGCGGGAAATGATAGATGAAGGTAGTAATTCACCTGCCCTGGCCAGGCAAGGTGAAGGACAGACACTTTCTGGAGTGCCTGTGCAAGACCAAGACGTTTTCTTTAGAACGTTAGACGCGGTGTTGATACGTTTCCAATCTCCTGCTCCTTCCACTCCGAGAAGGAATATAGCAAAAGATTTAAAAGGATTAGGAGCTCCTGAATTCAAAGGTGAAGTTGAGGAGAGTCCTGTTGAAGCGGACTTTTGGCTCAATGACGTAAAGATTATGCTAGATGGACTTCATTGTTCTGATATGGAAAAGTTAGACGGAGTAGTCTCCTTGCTTCGTAGACAAGCAAGAATATGGTGGACGAACGTTACTCTAAGAATGACAAGTGACCAAGTGACCTGGTTCTTGTTTTTAGAAGAGTTCAAACACAAGTATATAGGAGACCAGTTCATCAAGCAAATGAAACAAGAATTCTTGAATCTGAAGCAATTGGATCACACTATATATGAATATGAGTGTGAATTCAATAAGTTGAGTCGTTTTGCGGCTGAGTTAGTTCCAACAGAAAAAGATTGCATGCGAATGGTTTGTGGAGGGCTTACGCCCGAGATTAAAGGAGATGTTGATTGTGTTAAATCTGTCCTCGTTTCAAGAGGTAGTGAATCGTGCAAAAGCTCTTGAAAGAGCTCAGAATGAACGTTATGGGGATCAAAGAGTTCAATCTTTTAAAAGAACGGGGCCTTCATCGAGTTTAGTATCACCCAAAAGAAGTAGAGATTCTGGTTTTCGATCTCAAGCACGGTCAGAGTCGATGACATCCTCCGCTAGAGGATCAAGTCAGATGAGAGATAGACAGACTCAATTTGTAGAGTCTGGTGATAGAATAGCACAATTGAGACATTGTCAGAATTGTGGAAGATATCATGGTGGGATGTGTAGAATTAAAATATGGAGCTTGTTTCCGATATGGGGAAATAGGACATTTCATGAGAGATTGTCCATTGAAGGACAGAGAGCTTGCACAATCGGAACGATCTGTTTTGATGTCTCAAAGAGATAGGGGTAGAGGTAGAGAAAGAAATCAAATAGAATCTTCTACTCAACAGGAGATGCGCTCCACTGCTAGAATATATAATCTTAATGATAATGAAGACTGTGAGGACCCATAATTATTAGCAGGTATTTTTCGGTTGTATAGTAAATGCGTTATGATATTGGTTGATTTAGGCTAGCATAATTACATATGAACAGTAAATTGATGAGAGAAGTACTAATTTTAGTTATAAGTTAATTGTAGTAGTTTTATTGATATAAACCCATTAAGGTATAGTGTTCAGGTAAATAAGATTTGTGGTTACTTGAGTGGATTAAATAGCGTATGAACATGAGAAAAATATGGTTTAGTTATGCTATAAGGAAATCTTGATAATGAGGAATAAATAGAGAAAGATATGAGAATGATAGAGTTTAAAGAATCAAGTAAGATAAGCGTTATAAGTGGTGTTAGATTATTTATAGCATGAGTGAAAGAGATATGTATTGAGTAATAAAAGAGGACTGTATATAAGGATTGCTTCATATTGTTATAAAATGAAATTCGAGGACGAATTTTCTAAGGAGGGGAGAATTATAACATCCCAAACTAGGGGTTAGTGGCTAAATTGTAAAGTTTAAGAATTTGATGAATTAAGTAGAAGAATGGAATAATTCAATGATTTATTTGGAAATAATTCCTAAAAGTTGTTAGTAATTATTAAAGTAGATGAAGGGCAAAATGGTCATTGAACAAAGATAATATTAAATATTAATAATGGGTATTATAATATATGAGAGGTATGAGATAGTTTTTAGACTTATCTTCTTCATCTTCATCTTCTCTCAAACGTGAAGAGCCAAGCTTGCAAAGGTGAGTTTCTTTGTTAGTTGATTATTTGCTAAATTATGGTTGGGTTTTGATCATTAGATAATAACTAAGCTTAAGGAAGCTTAGGTTATCTTAAAATTGAAAGATAAAGAAGTTATGAAAGATTAAAGAAAATGGGTTTGTAAAGGAAATTTGGAAAAGAGTTAATAAGATTTTTAAGATGGAATTTGACTTGTCATCAAGAAGAATAAGAGATTTATGAAGTTAGAAAAGATTTATAACAAATTTGAAAGTTTAGTAAGATTCTTAATTTTAAGAATCTTGATGAATATAGAAGATAAATATGATTATATGGACATAAGTTGTTCAATAATGATAGTTGAGTTTAAAGTCATAATAGGGGATTAAAATAGAAGAATTGAATGAAGAATTGATGAATTTCGGGCTTGAAATACAATTTCTGGACAAGGTGCATCGATGCACATTCTAAGTGCATCGATGCATTTCTTTAAAGAAGAACATCGAATGCCTTTGATGCATCGATGCATAGATAATGCATCGATGCATCCTTTTAAAATAAAAGCTTAAGAAGTGACAGTTTAGAATATATCAATTGGAATATTGATATGAATCTGTGTATTGTTATGTAGAGATAGAAAGTGATCCGTTTCAGGACAATTGAGGAATTAGAATCGAATCAAAGCAAAGCTAAGGTGAGTGCAATTTATTTTGTACTTATTTTATTGAATTAACATTGGCTTGTGATGAGCCAGTGATGGAGTTACTATGGTAAGAAGTAACTTCTAAATTGTTATGTGATTACCATGTATGCATTAATACATAGAAATAGATGGATGCTATGTTATATGATTTTATATGCTTAAGTGAAAATGCAACATATGATATATGTTATTTGACATGACATGCATGGTTACATGAAAGAAAGCTATGTGACTACATGTATATGTGAAAGAAGCTATAAGCTTATATGCACATGTGATATACGTGATATGAATTACATGAAATGATTTACATGAATACATGTATATATATAATACATGTGATATGATATGAGATATATGGTTACACATACATGTGATATGTGACAGAAGAGAAAGAACAAGTGATATGAAATGTATAAATAAATGCCCATAGTATATGATACGAGAGCTATAGGTATAGTTGCATGCCAAGAGTCGAGGGTTTACCTATGTTCTAAGGAACATATGGACAGTTTACCTAGGTTCTTCGGGACCTATGGACAGTTACCGAGGATCTTTATGACCTCTGGATAGTTACCGAGGATCTTTAGGACCTCTGGATAGGTCCTTCGGGACATTTATACGAGCTGTGGTGACAGCATTAGTGCACAACCTCAATGTACTCACATACCTCTATTCTCAATAATATACATGGGCAATGAAATTGAAAGACAAATGAAAGGGAAAGTGATACAAGAAGGTAAGTTGCATGTGTGCATGACCTGATTGTATATTGTTATCATACAATAGATTCATGCATATTGATATGTCGTGATTCAATGATATGAATGCACATACATGAATTATATGTGTTATATGATGAGTATATGGTAAGTGGAAATGATTATTGATAGTGTTTGTATATGTATGTCTCTTTTATTTATATGAAATGATATATGGTTATATTATATGTTTTATATGCCTCACTAAGTCTATGACTTAGCGTGTAAGTGATTTACACGTAGGTACCAAGAACGAGAAGTGAAAGAATAGAAGTGGAAAAGACAGTATCACTACTAAAAGATCAGATCAGAAGTATTTGACAAAGTATGTATTTGGTTATGTATAAAGTGTTGGCATGTAATAAGTCATTAAGTACGAGCACTCTGATCAAGTCTGTATTTTGTTTTAAATAAAGTTTTAAATTTCCCGGGATTTTTCTTAAGAGTCAAGGTTTGAAAAGTCAATGTGACACGTCGGACTCGTATCCGGGTCGGGTACGGGTTGGGGTGTTACAAGATCGGCAACAACCATGATTTGTTAACCCAACTCCTCCTCAGGTTACCCAGCAAATCCCTCCTCAAGTTCAAGTGTGTCTCCAAACAATGGCTCTTTCTCATTTCAGACCCTCAGTTGTCTCTCCCACACTCGCCACCAACACCGAGATGATGATCGATTTCTCGAGCCTACTGCACTTTTGCTGAAAGTACAGTATATTTGTCGCCTGAATTCGATAACCCAACTCCTCCTCAGGTTACCAGCAAATCCCTCCTCAAGTTCAAGTGTGTCTCCAAACAATGGCTCTTTCTCATTTCAGACCCTCAGTTGTCTCTCCCACACTCGCCACCAACACCGAGATGATGATCGATTTCTCGAGCCTACTGCACTTTTGCTGAAAGTACAGTATATTTTGTCGCCTGAATTCGATGTGGTTCCTTTGAAACATTACAGTAAAGTCCCTTTCTTTGATTATATATCGAGCTCTAACTTCGACTTGATTCAATCTTGTAATGGATTGTTTCTTTTAGAATCCCTGGATGATGATGAGGACGATCCTGTTTCCGGCTATTTCATCTGCAATCCGACTACGAAGAAATTTAAGAAGCTATCTTTTCCTAGAAACCCTTTTAAAGCTTGTGATTTTTATGTTAGTTTGGCTTTTGATCCTCTGAAATATCCTCATTATAAGATCATCGTTGTTCGGGAAGTGTCAGTAAATTCTTATGAGTTTGAGATGGATATATATGCGTCCGAAACTAATTGTTGGAAAGTATCCGAATTCAATTTCAAGGCCGCCGCGGACGATGGCATAGCCTTTAGGGACGCAGTCTTCTGTAATGGTAAGCTTCATTGGAATAGTTACGGAAATGAATCGCTGTATTTCAATGATGAGAAGGGAAGTTTTCAGATGATGCAGATGCCAACGCCATCAAGTGATCACCATCAGCTTGAGATTCATAGATATTTTGGAGAGATCAATGGGAATTTACATCTTGCAGTGACATACCATGCTTACATTGCCTTGGACTTGAATGTCCATCAGATGTCAAGCGATTATTCACATTGGTTCTTGAAGCATCGTCTGAATCTCGGCGATGCCACGAAGGTTTTTCCAGAGTTGAACTTGGGGTGTTACCCGTTTGCACCCGGGTTCTCCGGTGTGAGTTTTGTTGGATCCAAGAAAAAAAATGAGGCAAAGGTTGTGATATGGGCAGATGGTAAGATAATATGTTATGATTTCGGTGACGTAGCATGGAAAATGGTGTATGATCCAGGGCCTGGTCTCAAGTTTGGCGCTCATCGTGACCATTTCAATCATTTACACGAACAAAGGTTTATTTCTTACAAATACTTTGAGAATCTATCCTGTATTTGAGCAATCTTCTTCACTCATATTTGAAGGTGAGACATATATATGTAGTGGATTTGATGATGAATGTTTTGATTTGGATATTCTGCAAATATCTAGCAAGTCTCATTCCCTTATTTTGTGCATATTTGTATCCGTCAATATCTTGAAAATGGGATGATTTCTGCATTAGTTTTGAGGCTAATGATCTTGTAACAGACATTATAGATTCCAAATTTTGAAGGCCAAGTGTTGAAATTCATTGTTTTAAGGGGTTCTCTAGTGATTTGCTACCGAGGTAAATGGTGCAACTTTGATAAATGTAAATGAGCTAAAGGCATGCCATAATTTACACTGGCAGCGTGCATTTGGTTACAGTCTTGTTTACAGTGGAACTGAAATGCCGTTCTATAATGTTTTGAGACCCTCTTTTGTGTTTGAGCAAATGTATGGAGTTTTCATCAATCTTATGAGGTCTTATTTCAGTAATTATTTTGTGTAAACATTAGAGCAAATGTGGTATGTATCGAATATTTTCAGTAGTTCCTGGTTCTCTGTCATAGCGAGCACGAGCCGGTCGCCGCCGACGGCATACCTACGTATAATTTATCTGTAATCACTCAGTAAGTGTGTATATATATATATATATATAAACAATAGAAAATTGAAAATATTATATTAATTTTATTTTATCAAAAATAATTCTTAAATTTAACCGGATTCATATCAATACTACATAAATCAAAAAATAAAACTTGATTTTTTTCATGAAAAGAAAAGATAAACAATTAATCAATAGAAACCCTTAATAAATTTTATTATATCATTAAATTAACACTAACTATTCCAACTTAATTCAATTAAAAATAATATATAGAACAGAGAGAAATAATATTATATTAAATCACTTAATGTCGCACTAATTATAAGGTAAAAAATAACATTATATTAACATCATTTCATGTCGCACTAATTATAGATCACCCCAGAAGTTTCTTCTTTTTGTTTTCTCCATAGGTTGGTTATTCAACGACCCTCCGATCTGCATACCAAACAATCATCCAACGGTCAGTATCAATCCCCACCATCTTCTTTATTTTTCCACTCACCCTGCCTCTCTTCCTCCGCTTCCCTCTTCAACTCTCTGCCATCTCAAAGATTCTTTCATTTGCCTGCCATGGCTATTCTTCTCAAAACGCCGCCGTTTAAGCGCCCTCCTTCTCTGTCTCCATCTCTAAGACCCACTTCCTTAAACCCTCCAAAGCCCTTTAATGTCTGCTTCAAAGAAAGATTTCCTCGTACAACCGGTGTCCTCCGGTTCAGCTCCACTCCTTCTATTCGGTTCGTAAAGTTGGTTCCGTTTGCTAATAATGGTGGTGAAACCGAGACCACTGAGACCCAACAAGAAGCTCAAATTGAGGTAACTGTTAACTTTCGCTGAACAAGGTTGCACTTCTTTTATGGATTCAAGCTTCTGGGTTTGATTATTTTGGCTTCATTTTAGGTTAAGGTTTAGGTTTTTCTTCTAAAATTGAGGAAAACATTTCTGGGTTTTGGAATTGAATGGTTTATAGAATTTAGCTGTGTATCAAAGGAATTCTTATCGAAAATCTTCTCTCTTTATTGAATGACTTACCAGAATGAGTGGAGGAAACTAGCAATGAACTTGAGGTTTTTATCTTTTAGGCCTTAAAGATCAGAAGGTGGTCAAGAACTTTGGTGAAGTTCACGAGCAAGCTGTAAATCTGAATTGAAAACATCAAAATTTTTACTTGGTTCAATGCAGTTCGTGTTGGAATTTTTTTTAATTAAAATTTAGTCTAATCAGGTGGCTGGTTATTTTCTGCTGATGAAAGTAACATAGCTTTAGTGATTTGGCACTATGTTACAATTGCTAGTCGTCTCTTTCAAAGCTACCTATGAATAATTCTAAAAAGACATGGTTTTGACTTCTGAATACTTTGATGACAATATAAATTCCGGGCTCAATATTTTCGGAAATTATAGGTTGCTATGTTACAAATAATTTATCCAAGTTCTTTGGTTTTGCTCTCTTTTCTGGGCTATATATTACTTGCTTATTTGTGGTAGTGAGTTTAATCGAGAGCAACACTTTCCCTACAAACTGACACTTGTTGGAGGTGCTCTGTAGTGGTAAATGGATTTTAGTCCTTGAACTCTTCTATTCCCCCCCCCCCACACACACAAAACAAAAAATCCTGACAAAGTAATTAGTCCAGATTGACTATTTGACTTTAAAAATTTCCAACTATTATTGCATGATATGATTTCTTTAGGGTTGATTTATACGGTTTCTTAACCTGATTGAACAGTTTGTGATCACTGGCATAGGTCAAGTATACAGTGATATAGAGATTTCTTTATTGCAATATTTTTCTTTACGTGGTTTACCTTTTATTAGTGTGTCAGAGACATATTTGTGCCCACATTTTTCATCCTAATGGATATATATACAGGACTCTTTGGACGGTGCTATCAGTGTTGAAGAGGACACCAATGGAGATGAGAGTAGTGATTTTGAAGATGCCCCATCTTCAGTTATCCCATCATTGCTCCTAGCATACAAAGAAGCTTTGGCTAGTAATGACGAGTCGAAGGTTGCCACTATAGAAGAATTTTTAAATTCCATTGAAGACGAGAAAGTTGATCTTGAAAAGAAAATGTCTTCTTTGTCAGAAGAATTGTCAATTGAGAAGGATCGGATTCTTAGGATTAGTGCGGACTTTGACAACTTTCGTAAGAGAACAGAGAGAGAGCGTCTTTCATTGGTAAGTAATACCAAGGGAGAGGTTCTGGAAAATTTGTTGCCTGTTTTGGATAATTTTGAGCGAGCTAAAGCACAAATTAAGGTCGAGACAGAGGGAGAAGAGAAAATCAATGACAGCTACCAGAGCATCTACAAGCAGTTTATGGAAATTTTGGGCTCACTCGGTGTCGAACCTGTCGAAACTGTGGGAAATCACTTTGATCCAATGGTGAGTTAGTACTTGTTACATGAATACTCTTTGCTAATAGGCATTATGATAGTTGACTTAATCAGATGAAGTATCGAGTTGGTTTGACATTCAGTCAAGTACTTGATGGGCTTTTGTGAATCATAAAGATCTTGATGCGTAAATGCAAACCAAGTCTTGATTGATTCGAGCTGACTCGTTGAGCTTACGAGTAATATGATATGATACAATGATATGAATATTAGATTTTTCGTGCACTGCTTATCAATGTTTTGACAATTTTCTTACAGTTGTATTGTGTTTCTCTTGTAAAAGTTGCATGAAGCGATTATGCGCGAGGATTCTGCTGAATTTGAAGAAGGAATCATTCTTCAAGAATTTCGGAAAGGGTTCAAGCTCGGAGACCGGCTGTTACGGCCATCGATGGTTAAAGTATCAGCAGGCTCAGTTGCAAAGCCTGAACAAGGAGACTCATCAGAAGGGGCAGATGCCGATGAAAACACCAAGACCAGTGAAACCGTTGAGAACAATGATGCTGAAAGCAGTGAAACTACCAAGAACGACCCGGGATCTGCGGAGGCTTCTTGAAGACTTAAAGAAGATGGATTCAGTTTTGTTTCAAGAAACCCAGTGTTAATGTTACTTCCATTGTTACAACTCAATTTTGGTTTTCATTTTGTTAAAGAGGAATTTACAATGAAATTAGGAAATGTAATGTATTGGGAACAATTTATTTATCGCCTCTTCCTGTCGCCGCTTGGAATGTTTCCAACGGGGATGTGAATAGTACAAAATCTAAAATCATTCTCGCTTTACAATCCGTAATATTATAATTATTTTTCTCTACCATTCGTGTAGATCTCGAGATCTATTTAATTTTTGTTATATTTATCTTGTGATTCGCCTTATATAATAGTATATTTATAAATATCAATTAAATAGATATAAATTACTTTTTATAAAGTATAAAATATTTGTTTTTTTTTAATTTTCAACATATATATGATATTAAAAAATAATTTCAATACAAGTCCATTTTTTTTAAATAGAACATTTACATAATATTTAAATAACAATAAATATCTTCCAATACAATATAAAATACAAAAATTTCAAAAATCAATCAACACTTGCAAGTGTTATGAAAACTAATTTTTGAAATATTTATCTTTTAAATAGGCATGTTATATATATTAAACGGACAAGATGATGCTAAAATCATACTAACGTTCGTGGGTCTAATTTTTTCTCTCAGCCTTGTATCCTACCATTCACGAAATATGTACGTATTCCCGTCCAATTAGGTGCGAAGTGGCAAGAATCCCCACAAAACCCATACCACCTGCACTGCATCCCTACTTCTGATGGACTATTATTTTAATTATTTTTATATTTTATTTTTAAATTACAACTAATAAAATATTTAAATATATAATTAACACGGTACATTTTTTATATTGAATTTTGATAATACAAATCTCAATATCATATTATGGGGGCATTTGCAGATTCTAACCTTCCAAAGTCAACAAGAACTATACCCAATTTTCATCGGTCTATTACAGCTATACAAAGGAACCACGTATGACAAATGTTCTTAAAATGATGAAACAAATCTGTTCTCCGACCGTCGTTACCTTCTCAAGAGATTGTATGCCGGTAAATCTTTCACGCTGAATACATCTTCGAGTGAGAGATCTCGTTCTAATTGTGTTCTTGTAGACTTCAGAACATCCTGCAAAAGCAATGTATATGTATATATATATATATGCGAAAATTTGTCCTTGATTTAGGTTTGAGCATCAATCCGACACAGATATGTATGCATAGTGTTTTAGGAAGGTCGCATTCCCATATCCATGTCAAATTGAATACTGGTGTTGAACACGAATAGTTCAAGAAACATAAATGCAAACCATGGAATTACAAATGTAGAAAGCTCGATCTACAGGTTAGAATAGCTTACATTGAATTCCATGTACGAAGCCCGTTTCACAAGCCATTGTGCATCCATCATCTGGAAGGCTACACAATAAAGATCATCAAATGCCA